TTCCCCAATTTTATTCAAAATGATGTATACAGAGGCGTGTACCCTGTCAGCATGCTGCAGGGAAGGATCCTTTCTCTGTGGAAGCAGCGGTGTCTCCGCAGAGGTCCAACACCTACCCTTCTATGTCTGAGCTGCAGCTCTCCAATCAGCAGGAAGCATGAGGCTTGGATGAGCTTTAGCTTTGACTCGGCAAGGGGTGAACCTCTGCAGAGAGACCACTGCTTCCACGAAGAGAACAAGGGTCCTTTTCCTCAGCATGCTGGCAGTGCACGGGCCTCTCTACCCGGCTTGTTGCCGCTTTCTAGTCGCCTTTTGTTTTATTGCTCCCGGAATGTCCCGTGTTCATGTGGTTCTGTTGGACTTTAGGCCCGAGCACCCGCTGGGTTTCATGTAGCGCAGGTTGGGTGATGATGACAGAGGGCGCTGACTTGGTAACATGTCGAAATTTCAGCTTCTGCCGGATACGCCGTGTGGTATTAATATCAGCATTTTGTTTATTCACAGCTGTCGGTGTGTTGGTACACATTCACCCGTACACATTCACCTGAATGCCTCCCACCAGCATGGGGAAGGATTACTACAAGACGCTGGGCCTGGCGAAGGGCGCCTCGGAGGAGGACATAAAGAAGGCCTACAGGAAGCAGGCTCTGAAGTTTCACCCCGACAAGAACAAGGACCCCGGGGCCGAGGAGCGCTTCAAGGAGATCGCCGAGGCCTACGACGTGCTCAGCGACCCCAAAAAGAGGGAGATCTTCGACAGGTACGGGGAGGAAGGTAAGCCAGGTCACGTGTGTGTCATGTGTGCCCAGGGATTAGATGTGTTTGAGGAGGAGGCGGGACGTTTGCCACGGTTACCAGGATCCAAATCCTTCTAATAAAGCAGAGCCGCGGCGGGCAAGCCCAGGTCAGGTCCTAGTACAGGGGTGGAAGAGAACATGGCTGACAGAATTTGGTTGTTGCCGGGACTTTCTGCTCCTCGTCATGTGTGGGTGTGATCTTTCGGGTTGGTGACAGTCACCGTACTGCTATTCCCAATCATTATATGAAAGGGCCCACCCCTGGCATCCCTTTAGATGTGCGAGCCTGCTGGCCATGGGGTGCTGCATGCTTTAGATGTGCATTCTGCTAATCAGTTGCTGGATTACACTCTTGAGTGCAATCCAGCAACTGATCAGCAGAATGCGCAGCTGAGGTCTGCAGAACCCACTATGACTAGAACAACCACTCTGTTAGGGTGTAATGGTGAGGCTGGGCTTCCTTCATACTGGGTTGGCCCAAGCATGCCATCCACTCATCGTCCTGACCCAATCTGTGGCACTCTCTGCCCCTTTGTGATGTATAGCTGCACATCCCTGCAACTGATTGGGTTAGAGAGAGGGGGCGGCAGTCGATCAGTTGCAGAGAGGCGCAGCTATAAGGGGCGGGGAATACCACTGCCGCAACAGATTGGGGCAGGAGTGGGTGGCGGTCAGAGTTTTAAACGGGCTTGGGTGAACCAAGAAGCCCCGCCCCCCTCTAATCAGCAGTTTAGGGTTGAGGCTTGCTTGGTTGAGAGCACAATGATGGACTGGTGACTGAGGCCGCCTTAGCTAGAAACCTTCCACCATCGTACCTGGAAATGTGCACATTAGAAGATGGCCGCCTGCTCTGTAGGGGTGACGGGGGCCACTTTCATTCTCGGATGATACAGGAACCTAGGATGTGATTAATGATGGCGTCACCACAAGACTACCATCGTATGAAGCGGAGTGCAGGCGTGGCGTTCCCGTATCCCTCCGATGTATTTATTCATTCGTCTTTATTCCTCCCTCTGGGCGAGCGACAACCTGTTTTATTGCAGCAATGATTGAGCGTCGTCTCTCCTCCTTCTTCTTGGCACGTCCGTGTCATCTCCGCACTCAGGTGACCTCTTCCAATTCCCGGTATCAGAAACTCTTTGGCGGGTGAGCCGGTCATCTCCATCAATGGTTGGAGTCGGTTGGGAGACCAGATGGCCGACCAGATGGTCTGGGAGACCAGATGGCATTTTTTCAGGGGCGTCTTATTTGCGCTCAGCATTTTTCAGCATCACATGAGACTAGGGACGCACCGATACGGGTTTTTCGGTATCGAGTACCATTTTTTTTTTTTCCGGTACTTGCCGATAGTCGGAAGTCCCATTAAGGAAGCAGGGCAGCGTGTAATAACTCGCCACCCGGCTTCCCGATTAGCAGGGAAGCCGTCCCCATGCTATGTGACGAGAAAGCATGGAGCCGGCTTTCTGGCCAATCAGGAAGCAGGGGGCCGTTTGTAATGACTCGCCGCATAGCTTCCTGATTGGCCAGCTTATCAAACAATCGGGAAGCCAGGCGGTGAGTCATTACACACTGCCCGGCTTCCCGTTCGTCACCAAGTGACGAGGGAGCATGGAGCCGGATTCCCGATTAATCGGGAAGCCGGGGTGTGTGAATCCTTGCCCGCCCCCTGGCTTTCTGATTTGGCTGGGAAGCCAGCTCCCTGGTGATCACGGAGCCGGCCATTCGGGAAGCCGGGCAGCGTGTAATAACTCGCCGCCCTGCTTCTTGATGACGGAAGTTCCAGTATCTGGCTAGGCATCAGAGTATTTGGACGAGTACTCGTATCGGTGCATCCCTACATGAGACCCGACAGATGTACTAATGTCAGGTATAGTGCAGAAGACGCCAGTCTATAGTAACTATACCAGGGATTGTCAACCTCAGCACTGCAGCTCTTGTGTAACTACAAGTCCCATGAGGCATTGCAAGACTCTGACAGCCACATGCATGAGACCCAGAGGAAGGAAGCATGTTGGGATTTGTAGTTTCACCGCACCTGGGGTGCTGGGCAGGTGCCAACATAGAACTATTATATAAAAGGGTGGTTCTCCTCCAAGTATTCCACACATGAAGAGCCGGTGCAGAGAGTGTACAGGTCCCATCCTGCCCCGGGTTGTGGTATTCCTGCAGATCTGGGCACGTCTAACGCTTATTACGAGGTGTCATTTGTACTCGATCTGCCGCCTTTTACTCCGTGTGTCTGGTTTCTGATCTCCGTGTTGGGGAATGAGGACTTCCATAGGTGCCAAGTTACTCAAATGTTGCCTAAAATGAAGTGAAGACCTCCTATTCGGAGCAGCTGCATATTTCAGTTTTCTCTTCCACTCACTGGAGGACACAGCAGACATTATTATCAAAACTGATGGGTTATACAGCCACCTGCAGGAGTATAACCCAGCGTTGTCGTTAATATGATGTCCGCTGTGTCCTTCAATGAACGGATTTTTACAGCAAGTACAAAGTCGTCCCTTTTTTTTAAGCCAGGTCAAACTCGTCCCCCCCCCCCCATTTTCTTATTTAACCCCTTCATGACTGCAGCCTTTTTTTGTTTCATTTTTTTGCACCCATGTTCCACATTTTAGGCCTGAAAATTACTTAAAAGCCCCCAAACATTATATATTTTCTGAAAGCCAAGACCCTATAGATTAAATTGGCGGAAGTTGCATATTTTTATGTTGCACTATATTAGCGCAACTCCTTATCAATACCCAATATTTAAAGAAGAAAAAAAATGCACTTAAATGCCCCGTGTGTCCGTGGAACGGAGACAAAATTCAGTACCCCAAAAAGTCCATAGACAACGCTTTTAAAGCCCCCCACAGGTCGTCAGTTTAGAGATGTGTGTGTAAGTATTGGCCCTAGGATTATTGGTCTCACTCCGGCGTGCGTGGCGATACCCAACATGTGTAGCGCATTCGTCATTTTCATACGTAGGCGCACCCGATGCAAGTTTACGTGGGGCGGGGGACTTAAAATTTTTTACAATTATTGTTACTTTTATTTAATGTTAAAAAAGCAGTTTTTAAAATTACTTGCTAAAATTACTTGCTATCACATAGGGGGGTTTACAAGCCCCCATGTGTTAGCAGATGGTGGTGACAGGTACTCTTTAAGGTGATGCTGGTGGTCCAAAAGACCCCCAGTGTCACCTTTACACTAGAAATAAGCTATTGAAGTGCTGATCGCAGGCTTCAGGAGCCGACCAATGACAGCTATGGGACCGGAAGTGATGCAATCTGCATCGCTCCCAGTCCCATAGAACGGGTAGGGGATCGACGAACGGAGGTACGTCCATCTCCTCCCCAGCTTCCCGCCGACACCAGAGAAGCCAATCCCGGGCCCGTAGGAGGGGCAACGGAGCTCGGGAAACACGGTGGGGGCAATGGGGGCCCACTGGCCCATAGAAGCGATCTGGCGACAGCTGAGTGTAAAGCTCACAGTCGGCTTTACAAGTTTAAACCGAGTCCTGACGGCAAAGGAGTCTGCTGAAGCAGCCCAAAGCCCTGATGCCAGTGATGTACTGGAGACAACAAGTCAGTGACCAGTTACTTATATTGGGATGATGGTGTTTAATCTTCTGATCTGTAACTCCATAATTTGTTTTTATTTTATTCCAGGCCTAAAAGGATCCCCCGGCGGCGGTGGCGGATGCGGTTCCAACGGTCCTTCCTTCAGTTACAGCTTCCACGGAGACCCTCACGCCATGTTCGCAGAGTTCTTCGGAGGCCGTAACCCGTTCGACAACTTCTTTGTACGAAACGAGGAGGACATGGACACAGAGGATCCCTTCTCAGGGTATGGCATGGGCGGCATGGGAGGGTTCGGCCCCATCGGCGGCGGCGGCTTCCCAAGAGGGCCTCCAGGCCGGGGTCAGCCCATGAACAGGAAGCAGGACCCGCCGGTCATCCGGGAGCTCCCGGTGTCTCTGGAGGAAGTCTTCAGCGGCTGCACAAAGAAAATGAAGATATCCCACAAGCGCCTGGGGCCGGACAGGAGGAACATCCACAACGAGGACAAAATCCTCACCATTCAAGTGAAGAAAGGATGGAAGGAAGGGACGAAGATCACGTTCCCCAAGGAGGGCGACGAGACCCCAAGCAACATCCCCGCAGATATTGTGTTTGTGTTGAAAGACAAACCGCATTCCGTGTACAAGAGAGATTCATCCAACGTGGTGTACACGGCCAAGATCAGCCTGAGAGAGGTGAGGAGGTCGCTCGTGTTCTGTGCAGCCACCGGCCACTGTCCCAATACTCGACCAGACTCAGGAGCTCATTGGCTGCCGGCTCTGTTCATTCCAAGGTTTTCTGACCGGCTCCTTCAGTCAGCTGATTGAGGGATGCGGCCAAAAGGATGCCGACCGCCACCCACTGTGTGCATTTCGGCTGGTATAGTGTGTGTCCAACTTAAGAGCACTTCAACCACCTTTAAGACATACCCCATGTTTGCTGTTACACTAATATTTAGGGTGTATCATGAAACATGGTCACACTCCCTCCCCCCTACTTACCTGAATTGGGGGGTGCTTCTTCCTGAAGACATTTAGGGCAACGGGAAGACTACAGGTTCCACCTGCCACTGCGGCAGGGACTGATAGAATGCTCCAGCAGCTGTGCGTTGATGTTGGCACTCTTGTAGCCCATCGTCTACTTCCTCTAGCCCCATAACAGGCCTAGGGACGGGGGGTAAGCAGTCGGGAGTCTCTGCATTGCACCCATGAAGCACCAATCGTAGTTGTAATGCTCTGCAGGCTCGAATGCAAAAATGTGATCAATGCAGATATTTGATTATTGTGGGTGCCACTCTTGTAGTCCATCGTATACTTCCTCCAACCCCATAACAGAACGTCCATACCTCTGTACAGACCTAGGGATGGGGGTAAGCAATCAGGAGTCTGCATGGCACACATGAGGTGCTGGTCATAGTTGTAATGCTCTGCAGGCTTGAATGCAAAAACGTAATAAATGCATTTTTTTACATTTTATTTTATTAACGTGGCTGGCACTCTTGTAGTCCAACGCATACTTCCTTCAATACCATAACAGAAGGTCCGTACCCCCATACAGACCTAGGGATGATGGGGGTAAGCAATCAGGAGTCTCTGCATTGCACCCATGAAGCACTGATTTTGTAGTTGCAATGCTCTGCAGGCCTCAATGCGGGTATTTTATTAATGTGGGTGCCAGTCTTGTAGTCAATCATATACTTCCTCCGGCCCCATAACAGAAGGTCCGTACCTCCATACAGACCTAGGACGGGAGATAAGCAATCGGAGGCCTCTGCATTGCACCCATGTGGTCGTAGTGGTAACGCTCTGCAGGCATAAATGCAGATTTTGTATTTTATTAACGTGGGTGCATTTATAACATTTTTGCAAAAGACGGACTACCTTTTGGGGACCTCCTATTGGATGACGTAAGTCAGGTGGGTGGAGGTTAGCCCTAAAGCAAAATGTCCCATTAAAAGGTAGGAGCGGGGCACTTTGATAGATTGGAAAGCGTCTGGTGGCCATTTTAGTTTAATACTCGCCATACATGAGGCAGCTTTGGAAGCTTTCTGTCCATCGCATGTCTGTGCGGTCCTCTGTAATCTTAACCCCCCCCCCACCCCCCATGGGAAGATTCAGTGGTATTGGAGATGGGTTCCATCACTTTCATTAGCATCTGTGAATGTTTTGGCCACTTGAGTGAAGGACATATCAGAATAGAGTAGAGTTCCCCTTTAACTGTCAGATTGGTGGGAGACCATTGCCATAGGATGACTGTCTTTCAATATGGCTGTTGTTGGGTAGATCAGGTGACAATCTAATTTCTCCGAGGCGACCAATGACGCCAATGGAGAAAACTAGGGATGCACAGATACCGTTTTTTTCGGTAACGAGAACCAATATATATATTTTTCAGTACTTGTTGATACCGAATACCTGAAACCCCATTAAGGAGGCCAGACGGCGTGTAATGAATCACCACCCGGCTTCCCGATTAGCATGGAAGCAGTCTCCATGCTTCTCGTGACCAAGTAACGAGGAAGCATGGAGCCAGCTTTCTGGCCAATCAGGAAACCGGGCACTGTGTAATGACTCTTTGCCCGGCTTCCTGATTGGCCAGCTTCCACTAATCAGGAAGCCGGGCAAGGAGTCCTTATACGGTGCTCGGCTTTCCGATTGGCCGGCTCCATGCTCCCTCATCACCAGGTGACGAGTGAGCATGAAGCCAGCTTTCTGATTGGGGCGGGTAATGACTCGCTGGCCGGCTTCAATCGGGAAGGTAGGTGGCACGTCACTACATGCTGCCCGGCCTCCTGTTTGGCCCGGGGAGCCAGCTCCATGTTCCCTCGTGACTTGGTCACGATGGAGCCGGCTCCCCAGCCAATCAGGAAGCCGGGCAGCATGTAATGACTCGCTGCCTGGCTTCCTGATACCGGAACCTCAGGTTTGGTGCTAGGCACTTCAGAGCAGTTGGGCGAGTATGAGTACTCGCCCAAATACTCAGCATCCGCACCGATACTAGTATCTGCGCATCCCTAGAGAAATCCATCACTGGATGGGTTAGAAACCTCCAGTATGCAGCCAGTGACCAATCCAGTGCCAGTAGGGACCTTTCTCTTAAAGAGAATCTGTCCCTGCACATAACGTGGAGTTGGCCTTGCTGATGAGTTTTCACCCCTGACACTCCTGAGTTTGAGTCCTCGGCCCCTGCTGGGTTCAGTGGTTTGTCCCAACAGCCCCCAAGTCCAGTAGTGACCTAGGGCCAGCAGGAGGAACCACGTTGTGGGAAGGGGTGGGGGTGCTGGATCTGTAGTGTGTTGTTTGGGACCGAGGACCATAAAGTTTATTCATATTTCAGCGATTGGCGGATTCCATCAGTCAGATTGTATTTCTCTGATTTCTAAGGAAGATTTTGTGTGTTTGTCTTTTAGGCGCTTTGCGGCTGCTCAATCAATGTCCCCACGTTGGACGGACGCACGATTCCTCTCGTCATCAGGGACGTTATCAACCCCGGGACCAAACGCAGAATTCACGGAGAGGGACTTCCGTTGCCAAAAGCGCCAGATCAGCGAGGCGACCTGATTGTAGATTTCGACATCCGCTTTCCCGATCGCATTTCTGCCACTGCCCGCGAGACACTAGAGAGGGTTCTACCCGCGTAACGTGCCCGCCACCCCCTGACACACCATAGACCAAAGCAGTACTGAAGGCTGCAAGGAGCGTCTTCATGACCAATTCAGCTGGAAAAAGAAGGGGGAGGGGGGGGGCTCTTGTTCTAAAGACTTTACAGCGAGCTCAGATGTGAACGTATGTTTTTTTTTAATGTTGTATTTTCCTTCATCTCGTTGTCGTCCGCCCCCCTCACTAAATGATTCGGAGGAAAGAACCTGCACTTTAAATCCTCGAGTCTCTGGTGATGCGCAGATTTAAAGCGGAAGTAAACCCAACTAATGACGGCTACAGGAACTCTGACCTGCACACTAAAGTTCTTCCCATACCTTGCTTAACACTACAGGGCGCATTACCTTTCCGGCGCCATTTTGGACTGATTCCAGCGATTACTTTCTTGTTGGTCTGCTCCACTTATGTCAATCACTAACGCTCCGCAGTAATCCTTCTTCACAGGGAAGACGGGAATGGCAGCTGCTGACATCACTCTCCAACCATGCGCATGTGTAGTAATCCATAGTCGCACAGGGGAGACGGGAACGGCAACTGCTGACATCACTCTCCAACCATGCGCATGTGTAGTAATCCATAGTCGCACAGGGGAGACGGGAACGGCAACTGCTGACATCACTCTCCAACCATGCGCATGTGTAGTAATCCATAGTCACACAGGGGAGACGGGAACAGCAACTGCTGATGTCACTCTCCAACCATGCGCATGTGTAGTAATCCATAGTCGGACAGGGGAGAAGGGAACGGCAACTGCTGATGTCACTCTCCAACCATGCGCATGTGTAGTAATCCATAGTCGGACAGGGGAGAAGGGAACGGCAACTGCTGACATCACTCTCCAACCATGCGCATGTGTAGTAATCCATAGTCACACAGGGGAGACGGGAACGGCAACTGCTGACATCACTCTCCAACCATGCGCATGTGTAGTAATCCATAGTCGCACAGGGGAGACGGGAACGGCAACTGCTGACATCACTCTCCAACCATGCGCATGTGTAGTAATCCATAGTCACACAGGGGAGACAGGAACAGCAACTGCTGACGTCACTCTCCAACCATGCGCATGTGTAGTAATCCATAGTCACACAGGGGAGACAGGAACGGAAACTGCTGACATCACTCTCCAACCTCATGCATGCTCAGTAATGCAGTCACCCCTGGCGGATGTTTGCAGCAACCGTCGATGTCACCGAACACTGATGGCCCATCACCCTTCCACCTGCTGAAGCCGGCATGGATTGATTGTGGTGATGACTTTTTAGTGTTGGTCTACTCCACCATCGTCCCTCTCCAGCCCTGCACATGCTCAGGAATGCAGTCACACCACGATTGGTTGCAGCAACCTCCA